GTTCAGCAAGAGTTATTGCTGGAAGAATCATGCACAGACAACTTAGGCAACATTATTTTTTATGATAGGAGAGATAATAAACTAAGGAAACGATGGATGCCACAATGCCAAGTAATCTACCGCATGTATCAAGCTTATCTAATACATCATTAATCGTAATGTCTTGGTAAATTCATCCCACACATCATACAACGCTGGAATCAATGGAAAAGTTGATATATTTTCCTTGAGAACAATTGAATGAGCCAACATCAGAAGTCCCATTTCTACCGAAACAGTAAGCATTCTAAGCAGGACACTTACTACCATTTGCTAATCTATCATTTGGCCGTACTAGGCTAGTAAAAATGATCGACACGAAAATTGCGAGTATAGCGGATACTAGTACATTGCTTAAAAGGCATATGGTGCATTTCAGTGGAAGGATATTCTCCACGTCATTGTAATCTAAGTCGATGTGAAGGTACGCATTAATAGGTATCTTATCTTTGCCGTCCTCTTTGTCTTTCTTTTTATCCTTATTCCAGTCAATACCTAGAACGTTGTGGAAAATAAACCAGTTACTACCCTTATTAATAATGGTGATGAGTAAGAATATTACCACAAAAGCACAAAATGAAACAGCATAGGAAATTGCTATAAAATTTGCTTTCATTGAAAAGAAATAAACAAACAAAATCTGACAGTAGAAACATAATGCAAATAAATGGATATTTTGCCAATAATACATTAAAATATATCTTTTTTGTTTTGTTCGTATACATGAAAAGGGTAGAAGGAAAAACTGCCATAAGAAAACGATTCTTAATTATTTCTAGAAGATTTGATTGACGCTTTGACAATGAGTATGGCCATTTCTATACAGTATTTTGCATGACCTGTCAATTCTGGTGAGAATTCTCATCATTTGCAAATTTGTAATGAATGAAGTTTTCATGTCTTTTATGATAAGAAAATTACTCATCGACGAAACATTATATGACTAGTTTTCGTATGGAAAAAAGTATTATGACGAAAACTCAAAGAAATTATTACAAATGATAGATATTCTGATTGTCGAATAGAAACTCTCGTTTGTTCTATAACAATATTTTTAGTAACAATACTTACCTGTAGATATTTGTTGACTATATCATAACAGTATTGATTTGTGAAACTAGGTTTTGCGATAAAAATCAGTAAATTTGATTTGTCAGGTCCACTTTCTTTAATAAAAAGTAATGCTATCATCCTTTTGGATCTCGTAACTTTTTTCTGAGCTAAATTTTGACCATCTTTCCGGAACAAGAGTTGTAGAGCAGATCGAGATCTACATGATCTTCTAGTTTGTTAGTTCTGTGATCATGCAAACAAAAAGAAACAAAATAATTCTATAAAAAATATCTGCAATCCAAATATATCGAAAATAGTTTTTGAGTCAATTATATATGATTTTCTAGAGACTTTCAATCGCTATCTTTTGACAAAAAAGAAAGTGTTTCAATCATGGGCATAATACAGGGAAAATGTCAAAACTACTGCGAATATAATTATTTATGGGCTACCCGCTAATTAATATCAATTATACGTTTTACCATCAGCATGTATTTGAACGATGAGAACTAAATCAAAATTATCTTCGCGAACTTTTTCATAAAATTTTTTCATGAAAGTTGAACATAGCCCGTCACTAGAATCTAAGTTTAAATATTTAAACTTTTATAACAAGGCATACTGATAATCAACCTCAGTCGTGTATATGTATTATATTATAAAGTTTTTGCATAAAGGTCGTTCGCTAGAATAAAAGAACAAGTTGTGCTGTTATATCCGCCACCAAAAAATATGCTATTTGATATTTTTTATTTCATTGAATACATTTAGCGCATATGTTGTCTATGTAACGTGATAAACATGTAGAACATACATAAAGTCGTTCAAAACATCGAGAATAAGGAGTTCTAGCAACTGAAAGTATCATTTTTAAAATTTCATAAGATGAATCATTAGAAAAATTGCTATCATACACTCTTAAATACCATAAAACTTCTCGTACAGTACTACATATCAATTTCTTACCAAATGTGAATATATCTATCCTAATGCATCATCCAACAATATCATCTTATTAATATGGATGCTAAAAAATTCTGTTTAACTTTTTGTTAAACAAAAGTAAACCTTGACGTATGATTATCTTTTTCTAGTCACAAATGCAACTCACTTCGATCATATACGTTCTCTTTTGTTCATTTTTATTCATGAATCATTCAGGGATAACAAACGTGGCTTATTACCTTCTATCTATCTGCCTATATATCACCTGCTTTTACTACATCGCTGTCATTCATTATTTATTTGGTTGGCCTACGTGTCGTTTATATACACGCAAAAATTACTCTGTGTCTATTTATTAATACTTTCATTGCTTTTATTGCATATATTCATCGATGGTTATGATATAGCTCGTTTTGTGCACATATCAGGTAAAAGAAGGAGAACTAATATTCATTTGAAATTAAAAGAAGGTTAAGTATTTTCGAAATCATTTTTGATAGGAACTAGAAGATGATCTGCGGTTTTCTCCATTTAAAAGAGGAAATGAAACTACATCGAATCTTCAACATCAGATTTTTCTGACAAGGTTTTAAAACAGAAAACATTCCATAGTATAAAAGTTTTGGAATTTTTATTTTCAGTAATGCAACGTAACCGTTAACTTAAGTTGAGTAATGTAAGGGGTGAGCCAAAAGTCTTGGTACTCTGTTGAAAAATTTATTTTTCTCTTTTATGACAAATCGAGACATGCTTCAAGTTGGATATATAGTCAATCAGTACTAGATGAGTATTATCCTGAATTTTCATAACTATTAGCCCAAGTTATAGCGACGATATATAACGTCGAACTAAAAAAAGATTATTTTCGCATGACGCGAAATTAAAAATTATGAAGAACTTGTATAAAATTAGAAGAAGAAAAAAGTAAAAAGCAGAACTCCAACAACTGAACTACTGGAAAGTTATTCTAAGTAATATTATGTCGACAGCCTAATTAGGTGTCTGTGGTATATAATTTAAGTCTCCACAACTTTAATTAGCTCTATGTTATGTTTTGACCATTGTACATGCGTCAATTTTCTTCGACAGTGTCTTTTTTATGTTTGATCTTTATATATTTTTCTCCAGTTTCGTCACTTTTACAATTTCATATCAATGTCACGGAAATAATTATTAACATTTGAAGAACAACTTTGAACTTGAAACAATTATGTACGAAGATGATCCTTAAATGAGAAGATTTTAATGTTTGATTAATAAAGAAGATTAGTCAATCAACAAAACAGACTACAGTCACTTATGAAAACGTAGAATATTGAGTTGTTCGCCTTTTTATTTAGAATGAAAATCAATTACTCTATATGTTTTTTATGAATGAAAACTTTCTCACGTCATGTGAAAAAAAATTTTCTCTTAGTTCGACGTTATATATCGTCGCTATAACTTGGGCTATAGTTATGAAGATTCAGAATAATACTCATCTTGTACTGATTGACTATATATCCAACTTGAAGAATGTCTTGATTTGTCATAAAAGAGAAAAGTAAATTTTTCTACAAAGTACCAAGACTTTTGGCTCATCCTTTATTAAATACTATCATGTTTCCATTGTCAATTTCCTTTATAAGTAGTCATGAGAACTTCGCCTCCTTCCATGGCTACGTCAAAATTCTATTACAGCTCACCTGTTGCAGCCATGAGTACGAAAATGATTAGGTCATGGAACTGCAACATGCCACCTATTAGTGGTTAACAGGTTTCGCTTCCCTTTCAACATACACTATATTAAATAATTGAGATAATGATTATTCGTTTTTTTTACAAATTATCAATTTCTAGATAATCGACATTCAAAGTTTCGCACCGTATTTCACATGCAGGTCTTGACTTGTGTATCATCTAGTAAATTATATATTAATTAATTTCTCCAGAGATTAACGCCGTCTATTATCAGTATGATTAATTGATTAGAGTACAAGAGCCACAAACACCTACAAATGAGAGAAAAAAGTCTTCACAACCGTTACGAACATCGGACTAAATCTGTTACAATGTTCTGATACATTGGATTAGGAACTCACGGCCAATTTCGTTGGGATCTTGAGCCTTGTTCTATGAGAAATAATTCCATTCCGAGTTTTTAGTCACATTCTTCTGATTTCTCTGTTTGTCTAATACGATGTTGTGTCTAAAAACGAGTATGAACTTCCATCAAAACTTTTTAAGACTAAAATCATTATCGAACACCCAAAGACATGTTCCAAGTTCGGAATGATTAAGTGTATGTCCGATATTCTGAATATGTAACATCTCTCCTTTGTCAGTAGTCGTAGAATCAGCTCGGCGAGCTCGATCTACCAATATCTATATGGAGAGTGTGTTTGTAGGAAAAATTTCAAGTTTCTTGCTACATACATCAGCAGTTGTTTAAGAATCATATTTTGCAAAACGTAATCACTAAGATCTTGACTATCTTTGTCTAGCACGATTGTAAATGACTCTTAAAATATCCGGATAAAGAATTGCATTGTATCCAACTTCGTTACAAATTATTCTTATGATCGACAAATATTTCCTTATAAATATTTTCTTCAAATATCTCTCTGTTTCTTGCTTACTCATACATTGACTGAAGTTTTTTCTTGGAAAGATTTTGCGAGTGTCAGTAAAAGCATTCTAGCGAAAATCTTTGGTATGATTGCAGATCTTTAGAGAACGAAAAGTGTAGAATCATATTTTTGAATTGAATCTTTCTTTTTTCCATAATAAACGTGACAGACATGATGAATAGTTATTGTGCATTACTGCAGTGGCTTCATTCTCTTTCATATTTGAATCCTGTAGGAATGATACTAAAGGCTCTTTATTTGAGAACACAAACTAATTTGTATATTGTTCGTTTTCTCTTCTTGTTGTAGTTGAAATTTTTTTCAATAGAACAAAACTTAATTCGAAATCCAATAATGGTTAGACGAAGAAATATTCATTTTTTACAAAAATGTTTAATAAAAATATGTATGTTGACATTTTTAATGATGATTGGTATAATACTCATTGATAAAAGAGATCGGTCATTTAAAAAGTTAACTGTTGTTAAATTAACATCGAATTTCGACGAAGCAGTGAAATTGATATCTCGTCTTCGTTCTAATTATTCATCTATCCATGGTCTACGTTATCGATCTATGATTTGTACGATAGTTAGAAATGATCATTATATTGCAGAATTTCTATTACGACATATTATAAGTGGCTTTTCTCACATTGTTGTTTATGACAATAATAGGATTTCGGCTGGTTATGATAGTAATATAAGCGCTGTATTAGAACCGTTCATTGCAGCTGGAGTAGTAACACACGTTCCGTGGCAACAGAACACTACAGAATTATTTCTATTCGAATACCAAGAGATTCAAGCCCATGAGTGTATCAATAAATATGGAATACATGCAGATTGGGTGGCATATTTTGATATTGATGAATATTTTTACTTTGAAAAACAAAATGTTTCAGTGAATACACTTAATGATCTTCTTGTAGAACTTGAACAATATCCTTTATGCGCAATTCGTATTCGTTGGACATATATGTATGGAGAAGGTACAATGTTGAGACCAAATCGTCCATTATTTGAATCATATCCTCGTATATGTAAAGCAGCATTACAAACAAAAGTTTTAGGCAGAGCAAATAATACAATCTTTCATATTCCTCATGAAGCATTCTGCAAAAAATACAAGTAACCAAACTGTATTGACCTGGACACAGAGAAACAATGCAAAGATAGCATTAATTTATTATCGTAGCAAATCTATTGAAGAGTATTTAGTTAAAGTAGATCAAAGTATGCCACCATATATCCGCACTCCAATGGAATATTACGTTCATTCGAACGTAACCGTTTGTGATATCATGGAGTTTGGTTTCGCAGAAGACTATAGACGTATTTTTATAAATACTTACAAGCAGTTGAAAATGTTACATTCACTAACACCGATTGATTTATTGTCGCCACCTGGTCTTGTATTGAACGAAACCTATTATTATAAACTTGATATGCATCTCAAATATAGATGTGCCAAACGACAGGAATTTGATCATGAGAGATACTTGAATATAAATCCTGATGTCAAGGAAGCTATCCGAAATCATACTTATACAGATGGACTTCATCATTTTATGGCTACATTTTCATCAGGAGCAAAAGGTTGTTGGAGAACAGGCATTTATTCGGTTTGCGAATAGTTTCTTCCAAAGATAAGGGTGTGAATTTGATTTAAAATAAAAAGAAAACATCGTAATTGTTGTCATATTGCTTGTCCATAAAGTTATGTAAAAGAAGAACAAGAGTGGATACATACAGTGATATGTCTTAACAAGTATGAACAACTTGAAAAGAAGGATCGTTGACTTCAGGCTAGGATACAATCCTAGCATATTCTGGTTACCGGCCGGTTGCTTTATCATTTAAGCTACCCATCATTTTTCCACCAATTCCATAGAAAATACGTATTAACTCATTCCTGTTACTTGTACGTACATTATGGGACATTAGCAATCAAGAATGATTTATCTTTTGCGTTGCTACACGATAATTTAAGTCTATTCTTAATTAGATATGTGTATCTTGAGATAGAAGAACGGAAATCCAGTTCACTTGTGAATAATCAGAACAATAGAGTTACTATCACAAGGATATAAAAACATTTCGATATAAAATTCAGAATTGAAGCGGAAAATCTACTCTGGTTATTGGTAATACCAAGATAATTTAGTGATTCTGAGCATTCATTAATTAAAAAAATACAATTCTTAACCGATCTCGATTCAATTGTTTACTCCACATTTTGAATGGATGACACGATGATATATTGTCGACATTTCTGTAGGACGAAAGATGGATTGGTTCAACTATTTCATTGATAATTGAAAGATCTAAACACAGCTCAAAAAATGACCATCGTTTAGACATTTTGTGTAAAGTAAAGTTCGAAAATATGGATATTATTCTATAATGCTCGCTCACTATTGGCTTTCAGAGATGTAGATTAACGTGAATATTTCACTATTAATGTATCATCTAATATTCATCGATGGCATGTTAGTTGAGCCCCTACCCATTGCTCATTAACGATATCATTTATTTATCGTTGAAGATAAACATAATGTTCAAGAAATGCTACTTAACGGTTAATCTTCATTCATTCTTGTCGGCTTTTTATATATTTTCCAGATAATTTAATAGAAACAATAATGAGTATGTTTGGAAGAACATTTTAATTCGAACGATTTTCACATTTAATCATTTATTGGTGCGTAGTAAAGATCTTATTTAATCTGTGTGGATTCATTGCTGCAAGATGAAGATATCAATGTCACCAGATGAAATAGAAAAGCGCAAGAAGAAGATCAAGTATTATTATTATATCAGAATTATCATTAGGTAATATGTATTGAATTAATCATATTAATTATCTGTTAATTTAATGCTGGATCTAGATTACTTTGAATTATATAACCTATTATTTATTGATCTGAAGATAGTTTATGTAGTAGCATAGAAATAATCTTTAAAAAATATTTATAAATGTTTGCCTTTTCTTCATTCTTATCGATTTTTCACTAAACTGATACGATAAGAAGTGAATTATGTAATTCTAATGATGGATATTCTATAAGAGTTTCATCAGAATACTTTGGATTTAATCTAGCTATATTTAATCACTGATTAGATGACATTTAATGGTACTGAATAGTTTAATTAGGATGATTAAATTGATTCGAATTCATGTTGATCATAAATATCAAATGGAATCTATCGATAACGTATCTCATTCATTTACGATTGACGATGCCAGAAGCAGAATATACGTGAGTTCCACACTTTGTTCCTTCATGGAGCCACACTGACAAGTTTTTTTTTTCGATTCAAGAAAAAAATACGTCTCGTCACTCAAAGATTTGTGTTGGAAAGCAGACAAATGATTCGAGACAAAAGTTATTCTTTTGGTACGTAATTTTTAGTTTATAAATCAACAATTCAGTCTAGGACATTTTTGTTGATCCTCTTGATCAGATTACAATCATAAGAGAAAATCTAGTTCATTTGGACCTCGTATCCAAAAATTGACTTCTATTGAATAGTTGTTTAAGAGTAACCTTATCTTTTGTATATCATATTAGTTCGAGCACATTTCATAGTATCTGAAATAATAATTCTAAACATTTTTAGAAATTTTTCATCAGCCAAAAGAAAAATTCTGTAGACAAATTTGTACTGCGTCGTTTGGAAAATAGTTCAGTTTGAAACGAGAAGATATGACAGAGATATTAAAAATATACTGCAAGACTCATTTATTCCTTCACATCCATTATGTCACAATGAATCACATGTTGACTATATTTTCATTTACTTCATTACATAAAATAGAACATGAATAAAAGAATGATTTCTGTATTCTATAATCAGAAGAACTATTTTGTGGAACTCATGCATATAATCGGAGGAAATAATAGTGAATGAACGTTTAATTGCCTAGAAATGAGAAATAGTGCGTTCATAATCTCAGTGCTTACATCATTTTGAAACTGTAGATTAAGGCAATTGTATTTTTCACCTAGCAGAGTTAGAATGAAATGGACATAGAAAAATACGAACTAATTGAATTCTATATTTTAGGCGAAATTCAACAGCATATGTCGAAACTCATCGAGAAAAAGGCTAGTATGCACGACAGCTTACTGAGCGATAAAATCAATTCATATGACAGGCTAATATGGTTGTTAAACTGACAAAACGAAGAGTAAAAATTATATTAGCTGCTTTCTATGACATATATACTATGTATATTATCATTAGAAAAATAGAAGTTATATATTAAAGATATATCGGACAATACAAATAAATTTTCGACAAAAAAAACGATATTAAATGAATCATATAATTCTCGTCTGCAACCAGACTTAGACTCTTACTAATCTCTAGATAAAACTGATTTTTTTTTTTATCAATATTCCTCATCTATCATTTTTTTTTATGTATCTAAAGTATATTGAAGTGTATCGAAATTGAGCAGTCATAATTATCTCGAGACTTTTGATCTCAGACTTCATTTCAAATAAAATGTATATTCTTACATGAAATGAACCGGCTTAAGAAATATTTTTGTTCATCAAATATATTTCTAATATTCATAACAATATGTATATATTTATATACATCGTCAATCAAAAACTCCAGTCTATGTATATTTTTATATATTAATGTGCACACAAAAAATAATCTCTGTTAATAATGTCTGCCACAATAATGAAAAACAAAAACAAGATAAACGAAATAAAAGAAGATAAACAAACACATGCATATATCTATAAATTGAGAAATTTAAAAAAAACAAACAAACACAAGTACATTTTTTATAAAAATGAACCACATAAAACAAACAAAACATATTTAAACAGTTGCTTCTTCACTTATATGAATACCAGCTGTTTGAGGTGTATAAATATGACGTTGGGTAGATATAAGAGGCCATATATGAGACTAAATTGTAGAGAAAAAATTGTTTAGTACAATGTCTTCGAATTTAAAATATGAAATACAAATCTAGTTTTTGTTGCTAATTATTTATTCTATTGATTTTAGAACACTTTTCTTTTATCATAGTTTTACTTAATTTTTCAAAAAAGTAGTTCATATAATATGAAAGTACAAATGTCTATCCTATATACTTCAACACTTTTTTTTTTAGATCGTTTTTGACAAAATGAATGATTATGAAATATTTTCAAACAAAACATACTGGATGAGATTTTTCACGAATTTGTTGCCGATAAGCTAAACAAAAGAAAATGAACAATAAAAATAAAAAAAAAGAAAAGTTTATTTACCATCTTGATCATCACTATCATATGGTAGACGAGCTGTATCAGCTGATGACATACTATCCTACAAAAGTAACAAACAACATAAAGTTTTTCTTTTTTTTGTTTCTGAGAAATTAAAATTAAAATAATATTTTTTTTACCAATCCTTCATCTGATTCATCGGCATAATAAACTTGTTTTGAATGTAACGAATAATGTTGCATTGTTGAATTTGTTATATCACCACTACTATTTAAACTATCATCACTTCGACCATTCATATATCTAAATAAATAAATAAAAATAACATAGAATTCATATAAATGTAACAATTATTTTTAATAAAAAACTTTCATACCGATTTATCAGATCATTTTCATGCGGAAAATCATGTCTATAAAATATAGAAAAAAAAACAAAATGAATCTAAATATGTACAAAGAATTATTTATATTTACTCAGGTGATGAAGCTGTCATTGATAAACGTTGATGATTTTCAGCACTATCCATTGATTTTCCTAATCGTAATAATTTTTTATTTGGTTTTATTTTTATTTGATCAGATTTTATTGATAGACGAGGACCATCAGGTGTACTATTACTTCTTGTAAATATTTTTTTCATTGATGATAAATAACGTTTTCGTGTTGAATTTGATAATAATGATAAACGACGATGACTAGGACGTTTTTGTTCATCACATAAAATTTCATAATTTTTATCCGATAAATTTTCACATAAAGTTTTTAAATATGAACAACGTGTACGTTCTTGTAATAATGAAAATGTTCGACAACGATATGCAGCATATTCAGCATTAATTAATTTTGATAATATAAATGGTTTTAATTGTTCAGCTGTACGAACATAAACAAT